CGAGCGCCCAGGCCACCCCCCAGGGTAAGTCTCCTCCCGGGGTCCCCACTGCACCTAGCTGTCCGGAGATCGCCTAGGGGGCCAGTTTTGGAGCGCTGCTGTCTGCCAGAGCTCCAGCGGCATCGCCCAACATCTCTCTGTTCTACTTGGGCCCGGGATGGAAGTATATCGTGATTAGAAGTGATGATGAAAGTCTAGAATTTTCTCCGATTCCATTACCTAACCATAGGAGCAATTAAACTATAGTTTGGAGGATACAAACTTATTTTCATCATTTACAGAAGAATGATGGTCCTTGGTCCTCTGGCGGGGCCGGCGGGGGACAGGGGGAGTGAGATCCCAGTTGTCTGCAGACCACTGTCTGTCCTCTGCAGTCCCTTCTCTCCAGTGAGCCCTGACACTAACTGGCACTCCTGGGCAAAGCAGCTTTGGTCCATTGCTCAGCCACACGCCTTCCTGTGCTTACCCTAACTTATACTCAGAGCTAACTTTCCCCCGGGGGTAGTTTGATTTCTTGACTCTCTTCAGAAATTGATCTTTTTCTATATAGAGGTAAAAAAATTTCAAGAATTTGATAGTGGATAGAAATAGCTTTCATGCAGAAAGCATTTAAGGTTAAGCAAAATTTCTTCTAAAGACCACAAGGAAGAAATTATTTCAGCCAGGAAGGATCTGGGGCTCTGACCCGCTAGCCTTCTTCTTCTTCTTGGCACTAGGGGCCGGATTGTTTTACTATGTATGGACCGAGGAAGAGGAAAGCTGAAAGAAACTCACAAGTGGAGTAAAAAGTATCCTTCCCGAAACTGAGCAAAGCATGCCTGTGCAAGCAGTCTGTGCTCCCCCTCAACCTACCACAGTGGCCATCCATCACCCAATAGTCCGACCAGGATCGTGCTATTTTTAGTTTGGGTTGCACTATTGGAATCCTATGGCCTCCATACACATTGTGCCATGTTTCTAAAAAGATAGGAAACGATGTTTTTAAAAACACTATTAAAAAGTTTTATTTTGAGAGGTTATTTTCTGTTATATAATATTCTGTTATATAAATTCTTGACACTGGAGCACACAACTTTGAGTTAGGTACAGACTTTGCTTCTTAGATCTGGCAGTTCTGTGGAGACTTGAGCTCAGGTGCTGTGACCTAAATTATCTGGCTAACTTAGTTGCTGTAGATGATCTAAGTCAAGTTTCTGGTAGAGTCTTTTATAGAGTTATCAAGTCGGCAATCATCAGCTCAACTGAATAATTCACTTATCTCTGTTTCCCTCTGAGCTGGGCTGCTAGACCTAAATTAGAACGTTTTCAATTTCCATGCTCATTGGAAGTAGTAATTTCTCCTCCAACACTAGGGGCTTGTGCTTGCATCCTGGTACTTTTATTGAAGTGTAATCACATTAATGGGAAATGGTAGCTTCTCATTTCCTTCTCAAAACACTCTCTAAAGTCATTACTAACTAACCCCAGCTCAGCCTCTGGAGAGCAGCAAACGACTCAGATGAGCCAGTCAAATCACAGGCCAGATCAAACTGAAATGAGCATGAAGCACCCGGCCCTACTTTGGAATACAGTTTTCGTACTTTGAATTTATGTGTCTTTCTTGAAGATGCCTTATCTAGAATGGGGTTTTCTTTCACAACACTTTATTTCAACCTTACCCCCCATTGGTGGGAATGATAAGTTTTCAATTCTTTAGAAATTAAATACCCTGATTTCCCTTTTGGCATATATATAGGAATTGTTTTCATAATTTGGGGATGTGGGGGTACTAAAAGGATACATTAGATATTTTACTTTCCAACACTATTATATGAGAGCTTCTGGGGAAAAAAACAGCATAGATCCATCTTGGAAACAAATTATCTATTAAAAAGAATAGACATTCTTGAGTAGCTAGGGTTTTTCCTGTTTGTCTTAGAAATTTTATTCATTTTTTAGTACAAAGTAATACTTGTTCGTTGTAAAAAATTTTACCAGAATTGCAAGAAAATAAACAAAAAGCCTCATATGACCTAGAAATAGCTACTTTTAATGTAAAGATGTTGAATCATCTTGTCTAAACAAATAAATTACTAAAGATAGCATGTTGTACACACACATGTACACACACACACACACACACATATATATATATATATATAATTTCATGACTTTTTAAACTATATCATGAACATATTTCTATGTCTGCATGAATTTAGCTACATTTCAAAAAATATAACCAAAATTAATTTAGTCAGTTTTGTAATATAGGACACCGACATTGTCTCTGGTATTTTGATATCATACTTAGTATTTTATTGGCCAGTTGAAGTGGCATGGATGGCTTGGACAATAGAGTCCTTCATTCTTTGCCTAGGAACTTTGATGTTTCTGTGGCAAAGTGCTCAGCCAGGAGAGCTTCCTGCTCTGTCTAGTTCCATCTAATTCCTTCCACAACAGAAGCTGTAGAATCACCAGTAATGGGAAATATTATTGTACTTAAGTCTCTCACTGTCTTACCTATTATTCTCTTCCAGTAAATTCCTTTCAGTAGCACTGCTAGGTCAAGGCACATTTGTGTTGTAGAGTCTTTGATACTGTTATTTAAACATATAAAGCATTCCTTCAGAACACTTACACTAATTTGGCCTGAAGACATGGCACAGTGATAGAGAGCTTGTCTACCATGCATGAATTTGGGTTTTTATTATTTAAAACTTACTGAGTAGACCATGACCTCTCACTCACACTGTTAGGTATTACTGTATTCTTAATTTGTCTAATTTGATAGCAAAGTAGTATTATTTAAATTAGCAATTCCTTCATCACTAAATGAGCACATAGACACTTATCTATACACCTGTCAGCTATTTTTGATTCTTTTTCTGTAAATTGCCTGTTTCTGTTTGGATGCTTATCATCTTGCCGATTTGTAGGAGCTCCTTATAAGTCATTCATGTAACCTTTTCAGCAATCAGATTATTGTAGCCAAGCAATAGTTCTAGGTGCTGAAGTTCCAGGACAGCCAGGGAATTGTTCGAGCATTATCTGTGTAAACCAACATGCACTTGGTATGAGTATCAGTAGTGCCCCCATCAGCTTTGTCACTCGACATTCAGTGGCTCTGGACATTAACCTCTCATACTTGAGGGAGTCTTGGTAAGCTTTTGCCAGAAAGTGCTGCCTGCTGATGAAAATCAATATACAGCTGTACAAATGAAGATTTTACTTTTGTAGACCAACTCCATCTTTCTGGATACAGTTGAGTCAAATAAACCACACACACACACACACACACACACACACACACACACACACACGTTGGCTCTGGTCCAACAGGTCCATAAAGGATGCCATAAGTGCAATTCACTGCTTGAGGACATGAGGGGAACACTGGGCCGGTTGCTCTGGTCTGTCCCCTTGTGCTTAAAGCCTTCAGTACTTTTCTTCCTAGTGGGCATTTTCAGAGCCACTTGTTCAGCCAAATCCAATTTTTATGTTTGCAAATCCAGTCTTCTCTTTAGAGCTATAACAAGTCATAAATACTGTGCTATATTTCTTCTGCTCCAAATGTCCAGCCACTACTAAAGACAAGGAAGAATTGGCGAATCTGGTGGGGGGGGGCGCGATCACTTCATATTATTTTGTAGCTTATTGTCAAATGCTTCCCCCACAAATCAACAACAACAACAATAAAAAGTGTTCATTCCAAAGTTAGCCTTGTCGGGCGTTGGTGGCACACGTCTTTAATCCCAGCACTCAGGAGGCAGAGGCAGGCGGATCTCTGTGAGTTCGAGGCCAGCCTGGTCTCCAGAGCCAGGATAGGCTCCAAAGCTACACAGAGAAATCCTGTCTCGAAAAAACAAAAACAAAAACAAAAACAAAAGTCAGCCTTTCGCTGACCACCTCCTTCCTTCTTTTCTCTCTAGTCTTTGACCTTCTGCCATCCCCCAGCCAGAGGCTGAACCCAGGTGCCCTGCAGCCAGTCCTAACAGATCCCAACCTGCACGAGATCTACCTGATTTCCACCTTCAAGCTGCAGAGTAAAAGCTCAGCCACCATCTTTGGCCTCTACTCCTCAAGTGACAACAGCAAATACTTTGAATTCACTGTGATGGGACGCTTGAACAAAGGTAAGCCAACCTGCAGGATTTTTATGACATGCTCCTCCTATTCCAGGACTTGAGGTCTACTTTCCTTTAGATCGCTCCCATTTCTCATGTTTTTGTTTTTGGGTTATTTTTATGCCATATTGCCATATTCTTCTTATGGGACACTTACTTGCATGAAAGTGGTTGAGAGAGAAAAATGAGGACTTGCTTGTGTCCAATGTAGCTATTTTATTACCATATTACATGAACAGTAGGTTTTGTTATGGCATTAGCATGCATGTATGGAGTGTGTTTTCTCTGTAGTCACCACTGCACTGCCCTCTCTTGTCCTCTCCCAATCCCACATTTCCTTCATCTTCCCAACAAATCCTCCTTCTGCTTTCATGTTTTGAGGGGTTGTTTGTTGGTGTCCAATGCATTTAATTAGAATTTACAGGAACACGGGTGATGAGGTTATTTAGAGGAGCGTGGGTGCCTTGTCAGTGGCTACACCACTGAAGAAGCTGTCTCTCCTCCCCTAGCCACCATTAACTCTAACCACCCATAGATCCTTGGGGAAGTGTTGGGTATCTGTGAAGCCTTCTTCAACCTATGACAGAGTATTAATAAGCTCAACCGTGTGCAGATCTTATTATAGTAATCACAGCTACTAAGAGGGTAAAGGTACAGTGACCCTGCAAGCCCTGGGTTAGCACTCCACTACACCCCACCCCTTCCTTTGACTCTTACATTATTTATCCTCTCTTTCACCACGAATATGCCTTCTGACACAGTTCCATCCTCATGTTATTCTGAATGCAGTTCAAAAATGGATGAGACCAGGACAGTTCCGCATGGCATTTATCATCTTCAGCTATAATTGATGTGTAGAATAAATAGCTTTAAAACACTTATTTATTTCTTGTAGTTCTAGAGCCTGGGAAGCCTGATGTCAAATTCCTGGCAGGCAAGCCTGTCTTACACAGTCATCTTTTCACTGTAACTTCACAAGGTGGAGGTAGTGCACGTTCCACTGTGTCTCATCTTGTAACTGCATGAATCCTATAATGGGGGTCCCACCTTACTAACCCTCCAAGTCTCCACCACCAAACACCACCTTATAGGATATTTAGACTTCAGTGGATAAATGTGAGACCACCTCACGGTTCCTGTGTTCCCTCGGATGCTATAGCTGAGCAGATGAAACTCCCAGCTGAGGTGGTGCTTTGCTGGTCTCACAGGAGCCCACACACCTCAAGCTACAGGGAAGAATGAACAATTCTCATCCTGATTGACCTCAGTGCACACAAGTCTCTCACTGCTGTCTGACATGTTTAACTGTCAAAGGGAATTTCTATCGTCACTGAGAAGTAGCTCCCAAAGGAAAAAGTCATGGATTTTTACCATCTTCCTTTCCACTCATGCCCTGGGGACAACACCTGTTCCCGTTTATTAAGGAATGTGACAGACACATATTTTGCTGCTTTGTGCATTTATAAAACAGAATGCCCTGAGTTCTATATTTATTTCAGCTTGCTTTATAAACTAGCCCCTTCCTAGTGTTTCGAGTGTCTCTTGGATGTATTCATGCTTGAACTCTTAAACCTGCAGGCTAAGAGAGGAAAGTCTTTGCTTGCATAGACTGGTAGAGTTAAAGCAGAAAGGGATGGGCTGTACCCCTTTCTTTTAAGTCACATTTTTATTCCCCACTTTCCTCCTCCTACACACTCTCCCATGGGCTTTCTTGGTCTGTCCTTGGTGAGTCTCAGGGTGATATGTGATTTCAGATAATAGACTCTGCGACATGATGAGCAGATAGGTCAGCCCTTCCTACTCTTTTCCCCAGTTCCCTTCCATGCTAAGAGGTAGCTTAGCCCTCACTCTTAACCTCCCATGAGCCAGCCCCATTTGCCTCACATCTATTGAACTAATTGCTGACTTTCCAGATATTTCAGGTGTGTTGGAAAGACCTTTGTTCCTGCTCAATTCAGCAAAATAAAAAACTGGTCCTAGCTTTCCCCACTCACTGCATCTCTTCCTCTGCTTCTAAGATGCCTGGTCTGTGTGGGTCATCATGCCAGGGAACATAGGAAGCCATCACTCCTGAACTGACACCTCCCATTTACCCTCAAAGTCAAAGTAACACTAGATCCACAGCATGTGCTGAAATGAGCAGAGGGCTTGTTATTGTTTCCTTCAAAGAGACACAGGGATGCCATGCAGCTGTAAGTTCTTGATGATCAATGTTTTAGGGAAAAGATGAGGTAGTTGATTAAAACCTCCTCTCAATTTGTTTTCCAGTGCTGCAGATTGAACCTAAGGTCTCACGTATGCTAAGCAAACACTCTAACCATAAGCTCTATTCCCAACCCTTCCCTTACCCTGTAGATCTTAAGTATTCCTTAGAGGCCCAAGTACTAAGACTGTGTGTCACTGCAACAGTATTACATGGTGCTGAGGAAGTTGGATCACTGTGGGTGTTCTCTTACAGGGGATATGGGGGCTCTGGGACTTCTGTTCTCTCTCTCTCTCTCTCCCTTTCCCTTTCCCTCTCTCTCTCTCTCTCTCTCTCTCTCTCTCTCTCTCTCTCTCCTTCCCTCTCTCTCTCTCTCTCTGTCTTATCGCTGCCACAAAGTGATCTTTTTTTGCTGCCCATAATAATATTCTGCCCATGGACCTCTACAGTTGCGAGCCAAAATAAACTTCCTTCTTTGAAGTGGTTGACCTCAGGAATTTTGTCACAGCAATGAAAAGCTGAGCAACACACATCCTCAGCCTCCAGCCTGTTAGAAAATATAAATGATTCTTAGAAAAATATGAGCAACAAAAGAGTTCTGGGAGAACGCAGAAATGAGAGAGCTCTCGGAAAGTAAAGCGGCATATATGAGTATTAAGGCTTGGAGAGTTGAAGGATGCATATAGAGTTGTTTCTCTAGAACAACAGGAAATGTACAGATATTTGCCATCACTGACAAATCCAAAGTTCTAGGAAGGAGCAGCAGCCATGATAAACTGCACAGTGGAGGAGAATCAGTGAGTCCCTCCAGTCCATGGAGAAGAGTTAGCATGTGGTTATGCATTCTCACTGAAATACGTAATGGTAGCCTTGCTGACATATTTAGGGGCGCATGGGAGAATGGTCTCCCTGCATGGAGGTCTCCAGGCATACTTCAACTGGCTGAAGTTCAGCTGGTCTCCATTTCTGTTGAAGAAATCAAATGTATTTCTACCCGCTTAAAACACAGGAGTAGGAAATACAGCCCTCTCTCCCTTTAATGGATCTGAGTGGGTATAAGATGGGAGTGGAAGACAACTGCATGGATGGTGTTGAAGAACAGGATTAGGGCCTCTGATCCTAGACAAATTCCTGGAATAAATCGAAGTATGACTAATGACCACTGCAGAAGAGCTTGCCAGTGAGCTCTCTGCCTCAGGTCTCTCCCTCTCCAACTCATCCCGCCCACGGCCATTTAATTACTGCTCACAAAATAGTTAAGTCAAGGTCCACCCAACTACGGGGACCTGTAGGGTCTCCTATTCCAAAATGAATATGGTACAATTGCCTTACCTTTCCAGGCTCTACACTATAGAGTCCAAACATAACCCTCAACTATACTTCCCAATTTGTGTCTCACTATGGGATTCTCTGAAGCCTGTGCTTCAGCTAGAAAGAGCAGATATCACACTCTGGGTGCACTCATGCCGTCTTTCTTTCTCTGCCCTGCTGTACTTGCTCTCTGCTCCCCCCCCCCATTACATGTCCTGCATCATCTCCCAATACCAAAATCCTACATGCTGAAGACCCTTGTAAACACCATCTCATAGGTTTATTTATATGACTTTATGCTTTCTGGCCAAGAGGGGTACTGATTATACTCTTCTTTGTACTTTGATTGCTTACAAGTCTCTCTAGTAGGTTATGAGCTCTTTCTTGGCAGAGGTAAGACATCCCTTACCCTGTTTTTGTACTAATATGTCCCTTTGCATATACTATAGCAGGGCCAGGAAGGTAAAATTGATTCCATATGTGCAAGTTGAATGAAATAAATGGTGACGCACCATTTTATGGAAATTATGGAATTACAATGTCTGGTACATGTAAATTGCCAGACAAAAGTTTTTTTAATAAATGCTTGTTAGAGATCTTTTACATACAAGAAGATACGGGTAGTGTTTCTGATACAAATGATCTGTCAAATTCTTGGTAACACGGGTGGTAAGATCTTTATATAAATGAGTATTTTACAGAAACTATGTGCTTAGGTACATTTGAAGCCATTCTAGTATCTGACTTGGAGACAACTTTCTTGCTAGTATTCCAGATTTGAGTGCTGGTTAAAAATTCTGTCAAGTGGTCACCCTGCGCACATCTGTGACTCTGTCAGCAGTTATCATCTCTAGAGCAAGGGTGATAATAGTCATCTCAGAGTGACCCCCAAAATGGAAGTGTGTAGTGAACCCCATTAGCCTACGGTGCTCAATTAAAAAAAAGAACTTCAGGTTCTTAGGTAGTAGTATAAGATGGATAGATGGATGGATGGATGGATGGATGGATGGATGGATGGATGGATGGATGGGACAGATGTCTGCTATTTAGCCAACCATCTTCCAAAGACAGCATTATCTTTCTTTGCTGATAACCTTTCCTGTGAAAGAAAGACAATAGGAATAATTGTTCCCTTGGTCTTCATTCGCTATCACCAAGAGCAACTTGGTGGTGTTGAAATGAAGGGTAACCCAGAAGGTTGCTACCATGACTACAGCCAGTCATGCTCTGCAGCCTAAGGATAGGAAGTATCTGGTGGCTCAGGGTAGTAGCTCTGAAACATGCAGGCTTAAGACAAGTATAGCTTGAAGGAAGTAGGAGAATGCCAGAAAGAAGCATTCCAGACCCAGTAATAAATAGAGGAAAGTGGGAAATCTCAAACACTAATGATAATTGTGTGGACTCATCACAATATGCCAGGCTGGAAAGGCCTGACACTCATTTTCCCTTCTAAATTTCAAAGTGTACCTGAGCTCAAATTTTTTTTTGAATTAGA